CATGGCTTTTCCTCTTGTAGTAGGAAAAGGAGAGCATGGCAGTGATAAGACAGTGATAAAGAAGTGGTTTTGTATCTGATGGGTCACAGCTGAGTGCCTAATGCTGTTGTGTCCCACTCCCCTCCATCCCCACCACTGGAACAGGAAACACCGACGGGTGCGTGAGAGATCCAGGTCCAGCTCGTCGTCGTCGTGGTCCTCTCACTCCGTCAAAGCAGAGGAGTATCCCGAGGAGACTGAGGAGAGGGAGGAGAGCTCCACAGGCTTTGACAAATCCCGGCTTGGGACTAAGGAATTCTCTGGTCCAAATGAGAGAGGAAGAGCGAGAGGAACCTTTGTAAGTGTTCTCCACCCCTGCTCCAAATGGTCTCCACCTGTGCCCTGAGGGTTGATTCCCAGAGGGGGCAGGAAGTGGCTGTTGTGTGTTGCTCTGTCAGTTCAAGCTACCCTAGAGGAGAAGCCCTCAGGGTGATGAGCCCCAGTGTAATCACTCCAGGTTTAGAGCATAAACCAGGCTGCTGGGGCTGTGCTGTGGGCAGCAAACTCCAGCAGAACAAAGCCTGGAAGCTTCTGTGCATTAGTGATGCTGAGCAGCCCAATGGGCACACGCTGTGCTTCCACTGGGGTTTGGCCATGCTCATGTGTGCAGTCCATGTACAGTCCTGGAAATGCCTCTGGGTGATTTTCAGCAGCTTTACAGGAGCTGTGATGTGCTGTGTGATCAGATGAACTAAAAATTGAAAAACCAAGAGTGCAGGAGGTGGTGTGGCCACGTTAAAGCCATCCTCTTGCTTTAGTGATGGGTTTTAGAGGTGTTTTGGATGGGATGGTGGGAATCTTGGGAGCCCTGGAAGCTGACTGGGGTGGGAGGATTCTGCCTCTGCAGCTGTTCTATTTTTCTCCTCTGTGTTGCTGTTGCAGCAGTTCAGAGCTCGAGGGAGAGGATGGGGCAGAGGCAACTTTTCAGGCAACAGCAACAGCAACAGTGGCGGCAACAATGACTTCCAGAAGCGCAGCAGAGAGGAGGAGTGGGACCCTGAGTACACACCTAAGAGCAAGAAATACTACTTGGTACGTACCTGGGTGCTGAGACACCCGCGTGCTCCCGGTGTGTCCGGTCTCAGGTGCTTTAGAGGCGAAGGCACCCGCTGTCACTGACACACCAGGTAAGGCTTCGGGTGACGCTTGACGGGCGGCTGCCGGCTCCTGCCTAAAGAGAGCTCGTTCCTGCTCCCTGTAGAGTGGTTCCCATTAAGTGGACCCCCAAGGGCGGTCGCAGAGGCGCGGTGCAGGGCGGTGCCAGCCTGTCTCACCTGCTGTCCTTGGCTTCCCGTGCAGCACGACGACCGCGAGGGCGAGGGCACGGACAAGTGGGTGAACAGGGGCCGCGGCCGTGGCGCCTTCCCCCGGGGAAGAGGCCGCTTCATGTTCCGCAAGTCCAGCACCAGCCCCAAGTGGGCTCATGACAAGTTCAGTGGGGAAGAGGGAGAAATCGAAGACGACGAAAGCGGAACGGAAAACCGGGAGGAAAAGGACGCCCTGCAGACGACGGCCGAGTAGCCGCGGGGCCCGCGCGGTGCTGGGAGCTCTGGCAGGAGGGGAGGGGTCAGGCTGGTGCTGGGGTGTCAGGGTGATCCCCACGTGCTGAGCAGAGCCCTGGAGAGCAGCTCGGAAACCATCCCGACGTTGTTTAACTGCATTTCCAGAGTTCAGCCTCCCCAAGCACGGACTGGGACTGATCCATCATTTACGCTCGGATCCGCTCCTGGAGTTTCTCTTCCCAAAGACTTCTCTTCCCTTCTGGACTGGATACGGTCAAGCGCTGGGTGAGACCCCAGATTTTCCCTTCTCTGTGACCTTATGGATGGTCGGTTATTTTTTGGTAACAGGCTTTGAGGACGATGTGGTTTTAGTTTGTGCCCACCTGACCTCACCTGTCCTGACATTTTGTTTCTCTTTTATAATTTGACCCAGTGATAGTCGGGGTTCACTCGCCCGCTCAAATTTTCCTCCCCTATTGTGTATTCAATTTTCTAAATTCTGCTTATTTTAGGCCTTTACATACATAGTAGCATCAATTCAGAGATAATTTTGGAAACTATTTTTGGTTCTTATAAATAAGAAAATAATGAAGCATGTGAGTAAACATCTAAATGTTCATTTGTTGGGACCAAACTGCTATGACTTTTTTTTTTTTTTTTTTAACTTTTTTTAATGTAACAGTTGAGTTTAGGGCCTTTTAAAAATTATTGTTTTCCTTTTATGTTGGAAGTTAACAAAATTAGCATGGTTTAAAAGAGAAAAAAAATTATACCCTACTTCTGGCCACTGTTTGTGTTCACTATTAGGCCTGGTGTGTGCTGGACCCCAAACTGCTTGTAGCATTTGTGTCTCCTCCCTGCAGCTGGTTGTGACCCGAGTGCCCTTTCCAAGGTGACACAGTTTTCTAAGGAACTTCCGAATTCTTCTTGGGGAAAAATATAAATGGAGATGAGAATTTTTCAGTATTTTTTATTAATCTTTTTATAAAACCAAAAAAGCAGATTCCTCCTGAGCTGGTTGAGGACGGCCCTTAGGATGCATTTCTTTTTATCTTCTACTTTATTCTGGAGCAGTTTGTGAGGGTTCCCGGCCAGGTCTGAGCCTGGGCGGGGAGGCACAGCCGTGCCCGTGCTCCCCCTGTCCCTCTCCCCAGGATTGCTGTGCTGTTCCCCACACACCAGCTAGAGTTTGGTTTGTTTTGACTTGAACAGTTCCTGTTTAGCAAAGCCCCGAAGTTTGTTTATGCAAATAAAATACAATAAAATAAGTCGTAGGTGTAACTCTGCTTGGTTTGTGTCCTGAGTTGCTGGGTGGGAGCCTGAAAGGATCAAGGAGCAACAGGGGAGCAACTCCCTGTTGGGTTTTATGAACTAATAGATAATTCAGCTGCTGTTTTGGCAGCCTGGGGACAGTGGTGATACAGCCACAGGCCCTGGCTGCTGCCAGCAGGGATTGTGTCACCCATGCACAGGAGCAGCTCCATCCTTCCCACCAGGAGCTCCCACGGGCTGGTCCCGGTGCTGGGCAGGTACAGCCCTGGGTGCTGCCCTGCCTGGAGCCCAGCAGCAGCTGCTTCTCCACCGCTGCCATCCCAAGAGAGGCTGCTGGGGGTGCTGCTGGCTGTGCAGCCTCTGCAGGAGTTCAGCTTTCCTGGCTGCTGTGGGTAACGCTGTTGGCCAAGAGCTGTTGGGGCAGTGCTGGGTTAACGGCTGGTGCTTCCCTTCACACTCAGCCTTGAGCCAGCCAGAGGAAATGGGTGCCCAGTGTTCCCAGCTCCTTGGCCTGAGTGGCCACAGCTGGGGAGTGCAATGGAATCTCTGTTCTGCCATCCTTCTCTGCCCTGCGGCTGATTCCCTGCCCCCAGCTTGGTATTCTGGGTCAGGTGCGTTTGGCCAAAAGGAATATCCACGCTGTCTCCTGGAGCAGGCGGTGGCCATGGCCAGCCGGGATTCCTGGTGTCACTCTGACCCTTCAGGCCCTGCAGAGGGACAGCTGCAGCGTGACCACCCCCTGCACTCACGGCCTGTGGGTTTTGGCCCCTCTGCGGTTTGGGTTTCACTTCCCCTCCAGCCGAGGTGTCAGAACCGCTGTGAGACCCGGCTGAGCGTGAGCTCCCACCCCGGGCCGGCTGCGGTCCTGGCCCCGGCTCCCCCCGCGGCCTCAGATCCGTCACGCAGGGAAGGAGCCCCAGTGCCGGCACCGAGCCCCGGCCGTGGCACAGATGGCCCAGCCCTGCCCGGGGCCGGAGAAGGTGCGTGAGGGCTCCAGGCTGGGGATGCCCAGGGGAGACACAGCTCTGGGGGGCTCTGTTGTGCCAGCACTCCCTGCCCGCGGTCCCAGCGCCCTCCAGTCCTGCCCTCATCCAAAGCCTCTCCCACAGCCCAAACCCAGTACAGAGACTCCCCTGAGCCTGGTCCTGGTGTCCATCCGGCCCTGGTGTCCATCTGGCCCTGGTGTCCCGCCGGGATGGCCGGGCAGCCCGGGAAGGGCACGAGGTGGGTTCGGGGAGCCGGAGTCCCCCGCGGGGCACAGGGATGCGGCGTGGACCAGCACTGAGGTGCGTCTGCTTCAACTTCCTTCCCAGCGTGGAGCCGATTTCCTCCGGCATCACGTGCACGGTGTGGGGCTGGGGCAGCCTGGCACGGCACGGCACGGCTCGGCCTCGGGGCAGCCCCGCAGCGGCAGGTAGGAGGGAGCAGCCGCGGGTCCCTGCACGGGGATCATGCCCAGGGCAGTGCCCGTGTGTGATCGCACTGCTCCAGGGCTGGGCTGTGCCCTGGGGCCCGGGAGAGCTGCTGGAGAGGGGCGGGCAGGATGCTGGGCACCGCTGGGCACCATCTCCCTGTGCCACCGGAGCCAAGGAGCACCGGGGCCTTGCATAGGGGTGTTCTCACCCCCGCAGCCCTCGGTGCTTCAGCCATATCTTTGGGTGGGTAATCCCAGCACCATTTTTGGTGTCTGCGAGGCCTCTGTGACAGGGTTGTGCTGGTGGCAGCAGCAGGGACCGGGCAGCATCAGGGCTGCTGGCCCACCATGGGGTCAATGGCCCACCACGGGGACATGGTGGCCCACCACGGGGACATGGCAGCCAACTGTGGTGACAGGGGGGCCTGCCATGGGGACAGGGTGTCCGTCATGGCCTGATGTCCTGTATCCCACCTCGCCAGTGGGTTTGTCCTGCTGTGACCCCAGGGTTCAGCAGTTCAGGGATGCTGCTGTGCTGTGCCATGGATGGTGGTGGGGATGACACCCTGCCCGTGCTGCAGCGCTCACGGCAGCTCTGCAGCTGCCTGCTCTGCCTCACGCAGAGGAAGCACCGACCACAGCAGGGCTGGTGTGGGGCTGGTGCAGGGCTGGGAGAGGCTGGAACAAGGGCCCTCCTCAGCACCCGATGATCCCCTTTGCTCCTCAGCAGCTGCAACCAGAGAGAAGAACAAGGAGGGCGAGGACAGGGATCCCCCCGGGTGAGTCCCCCCGGCTGGGGGAGAGGGAAGCACAGGGATGTGCCTGGGCCAGCGCATGTCACAAGCAGGAAGCGCTTCCTGCCCCTCTCGTCAGTGCTGGTCCCAGCCCCAGCCTTGCTTCTGCCTCCTCTCCCCAGAGCTCCCAGCACCAGTGAGGATGGAGCCAACCAAGTTCCCACTCACCAAGAGGATGGCTCCTGCTCCCCCCATTCCTGCCAAGACCAAACCAGCCCCCGTGCTGGCCACCAAGTAAGACACGTGTGGCTGTGCTGGGCTGTCCAGGGCCCCTGCGGTGTCCCAGTGACAGCACCATGCTCATGGCTGGCCTTGGTGAGGGGCTGGCACCTCCCTGGCTGTGCCACTCACACCTCTGCTGTCCCCAGGCCCAGTGACCCCCAGCCCAGCACCTCAGCTGACATGGAGTGGGGCAGAGCCGGTGACCCAGGTAGGATGCGGGGGCCATGCAGGGGGGCCGGGCCCTGCCCAGCACCAGGGGCTGATTCTTGTTCTTTCTTTGGCAGATCCCAATGGCTTCAACATGGTGTCAGTGACCACAGCCAGGCTGAGCCACCCCACAGCCACACGGCCACGAGTCCCCGGCCAGCGGCCACCCAGCATGGCCCTGGGGAGCACGGAGGGTCCCCATGGCGGGGAGCAGCCCCAGGGGCTGCCCCGTGCTGCCCTCTGTGCCCCTGTCCCCAGCACGGGGCAGGCGCCTGTCCCACCATGGAGCACAGAGGGGCAGGAGGTGCAGGAGGGGAGGCCACTGGCCCTGGAGGACCTGAAGGCTGAGGTCCGGACTCTGCACATCCTTGTGGACCTGATGCGAGTCCAGCACCTGTGAGTGGGGATGGGGGTGTCAGGGGGTCCCCAGGGGCTCCTGGCTGCTTGTCCTGGCCCCAGCTGAGCCACCCTGGTGTGTTGCAGGCGGGACCTGCAGGAGCTGCGGCAGGAGCTGTGCCAGGAGCGGGCTCAGCGCCAGGCACTGCAGGTGAGTCCCTGCCAGGGGTTGCCTTGTCCTGGGGTCCCCTGTGCCCCCCAACAATCACAGCCTCTCCCCACAGGCGGAGATCGAGCGGGTGAGGAAGGGGCTGCCCTGTTAGCATGGAGGGCAGGTGGGTGGCACACGGCTCTGTGTGCCCCCCCAGCCTGGTTCTGTACCCATCGGATACCAAAGGCCACCCCCACACCCAGGCACTGCTCCCGGAAGCACAACAGCCCCATGACCTATAGAAATCGTTTAAAATAAACTATTTTGGGTACAAAGTGCTGTGTGGGGGTTGCTCAGGGCTGCCATGCCCCTGAAGGGTTGGGCTGGTCCTGCCAGGCACAAAGGGTCCCACCATGGCCCAAGGGGTCCCTCCAGGGCCCGTGGCAGGGTTGGGGCAGGGCCTCCTCCTCCTCCTCCTCCCCCCCCTCCTCCTCCTCCACCCCCGCACAGTTTCCCAGGCCAGCTCCAGTCCCAGCCCCAGCCCATCCTGGCCTCCAGCCACTGGAGAACATCTGGAAAACATCTGGATCCTGCTGGCGCTGGCGGCAGGGGGGAACCAGCCTGGGAAGGAGCTATTTTTATAAATCTGCCGGGGAGGGGGCAGCGGGGCCCGGCACCCCGCGGGGCTGGGCTGGGATGGGGCAGGATGCGGCTGGGCCCGGCGGGAGCTGCCGCATCCCTGGGGAGCAGCGGCCGGCCCAGAGTCCAGCGGGAACATCCGCCCTGCTCCGGCCGGAGGGCGCGGGGTCACGGCGGGCGGCGCCGGAAAAGACCCGGCTAATTTTAGTGGGGCCGGGAAGGGAATTGGCTCGGGGAGGGGTCCAGGGCCCCCAGAACGCTGGACCCGGCACGCTGGGCTCTAGTTCCTGTACAACAGCACCATGTTTGTGGGGCAGGAGCCCATGGCTCACACGGACGCACAGCCCGGCCCTGCCCCACGGGTGAATCCGGCAAGGGCTGCCCTGTCCTTGTCCCTATCCCCGCGTGTCCCGGGGCTGCTCGGCTGGTGCCAGCCGTCGTACCAATGGCTCAAAGTGCATCGTGTCCCGCAGTGGCGGGGGCGAGTCCAGCCCCGGGGGTGCCCGTGACGCCGGGTCTGGCTCTCCGTGGTGCAGGGACAGTCCAAGGCAGCTCCCCCGTCCATCTGGTCCCTCCTGGCACGGTGTGGGATCAGCCGCGGGGGAGCAGACACCGTGCCAGGGCGGCTGCTGGGCTCAGTAGTAGTGGACGCGGCCCAGGGTGCCGATGGTGCCGGATCCCAGGATGTCGGGCTGCCCGTTGCGCCAGATCTCGCGGATGATGCGCTCCCGCTCCTCCAGCCGCTGCGCCCGCTCCAGCTCCTCGGCCGACGCGAACACGTTCACGGCCAGCGCCCCGTCCCCGGGGCCGTGGCTCTCCAGCGGGATCTCGGTCACCGGCAGCAGCGACTCAGACGCTGCACGGTCGACGGTGTCCTCTTCGTCCTCGTCCTCCTCGTCGTCCTCGTCGTCCTCGCTGATGTCGCCGGGGCGCGCCGGGGGCCGCGGGGAGGGCCGGCAGGACAAGCGCAGCACCAGCAGGCACAGCGTGAGCACCAGCCCGAAGCACACGCCCAGCACGAAGTAGAGCCCGAAGCTCTCGGGGTTGGCTGCAGGGGAACGGAGGGGGTCAGGGACCTGCCCGTGCCCGCCGGGGGCCCGCGGTGCCTCCCAGCCCCGTCCCGGCTCACCTCGGATGTGGGCGTACGCGGCCATGCTGTTGCTGAGCAGCTCCATGTCCCTCCGGCGACTCTCCATCCTGTGCCTGGCGGTTCTCAGCGGCTCCAGGGGCGGCACATGCTGGGCATCTGCGGGACACGGGCTGAGCAAGGCTCTGCAGGGGCTGGGATCCCCCCCAAGTGCCCCGTCCCTTTCAAGGCCGTGCCTGGGCATGCCCTTGATGAGCTCCAGCTGAGCAGGGCTTCGTGCCTGCGCTGCGCTGCTCCATCCAGGGCTGGAGCCCCAGAGATGCCGAGCTGGAGCCGTCCCACTCCCGCCGCCCTCCGTCCTTCCTGAGGGAGCGGGACGGATGCGGCCCCTCCTGGCCACAGCATCAGGCGGGTCTGAGGCACCGGGCCAGGGCTTGTGTGCCCTGCCCGGCCATGGGATGGGTCACGGGGCAGAGCAGGGCCCCAGCACCAGGCTGCCGGTGCTCATGGGCACACACGTGTGCTCCACACGCTCCTGGGGCGGTGTCCCTGTCCCCCACACTGTTCCGGCCCAGCTCCAGCCCTGGCCCTTTGCCGTGGGACCCTGCGGGGCAGGGCCAAGGCCAGGTACGGTGCAAAGGCCACCGGGACAGGCCAGCGGTCAGGATGAAAGGCAGGACAGCAGGAAGGATGGGCAGCAGGGCGGTGGGAAGGATGGGAGGCAGGACAGCGGGCAGGGCAGGGCAGGGCGGGAGAAAATTTGGCCCTGGCAGGGGACGAGCTCATTCCCAGAAACGGCTCCAGAGAGGGAGGAATGAGGAAAGAAATGCAGAAAATGTGACACATCAGCAAAACCATCCCGGACGGTCCAGAGCTGAGGGGCCGCGGCATATTCTGGGGCTGGGCAGCCCCTCTAGTGGGACACCCCAAAACAAGGAGCGGGGGGTGCCCTCCCCATAGAGCAGCTGCACGGGCAGCCCTGCCCCGGCAAGGGGCTGCGGTGGGGCTGGAGGGGCACAGCCCCCCATGGAACCCAGGGATCCCCTGCCGGTGGCGGGGCATTGATGAGGGCTGGGCTGGCTGTAGGGCCCGTGGGTCCCCAAGATCCAAGCCCCGAGGCGCTCAGTGCCGTGTCCCCGAGCATTACACCGTGTCCCCAAGCCGCCTGCTCCGCATCTTCCAGCGCTACGTGCCCGCAGCCCGAGCTGTGTCACTGAGCCCTGTGCCCTCAGCCCCCGTGTCCCCGCACCAGCCCCGCATCCACCGGCCCTGCAATTCCCCGACGCCAGAGCACCTGAGCGGGATGGGACCGAGCCTCGACACCCGCCGGGGCCGTGCTGAGGTGCCCCGGGGCGCCCGGGGCTGGTACTCACCGGGGCGGGAAGGCGGCGGCGGCAGAGCCGCTGCACTTTGGCTGGAGCGAGGGAAGAGAGAGCAAGGTCTGTTTAGCATTAACGCTGCAGCAACAGGAAATAGTTCGGAGGCGGCTGGCGGTCAGCGCTCCCGCCGGAGCCAATGGCAGCCCCGGCCGGTGCTGAGCGGGGCGCGGGGCCGGGGCTCGTCCCGCTCCCCCGGGACGCCACGCTCGGCCCTGCACTGGAACCGCCCCGGAGCGGGGCCACAGGCGGCTCCAGGCCCCGGCCCAGCCTTGTCCAGCGCCCATCCGGCCAGGCCGGGCTTGGCTGTGCCCAGCCTAGGCTGGGCGGGCGGTGCCGGAGCCAAGGCGAGCGCTCCGGGCTGGGGGGTTCAGCCCCAGCGGCCAGCGTGGGTTTGAGGAGCTGCCGGGGCCGGTGCCAGCCCCACGGAGGTGGCGGCCACGCAGGGTGGTGCCCTCAGCCCCACGGGCCGAGGTGCGGGACACGCCAGGGCTGGTGGGGCCGCACCTCGGGGCCACGAGGCTCCGCATGCCAGCGCTGTCCCCAGCGGCCACTCCAGGCTGGCCTGGGAGGGACAGGCTCGGCGGGACTCGGGGCCCTGGGGCAGGACAGGGCTGGGGGTCCCATGGGGCACTCAGGCCCGTTGGTCTGTGAGCCTGCCCCCCTCCCAGAGCACATCAGTACCCCAAAATCCCCCATCCCACCCATCCCTCCCACCCCTTCCCTGTGGGGTCACCGGGCTGTCGTATGAAGTTTTATTGCCGACATGCAGGAGTAGTTCCGATGTAGTACAAAAATAACGTCTTTATACAAATTTTTTTCCTTTTTTTTTTTCTTTTTCTTTTTTTTTTCCTTACAACAGGCTCTGTCCCGCCGTGGCCCTGTGGCCCCCATGCCCCCTGCACCACCCCCTTCCAGTTTGCCTTAGCACAAGTGAATTGACCGGTGCTGCCACTGCAGGATCCTGGTGTGATACAGCCTCAGGGAGTCCCAGAATATTGCTTTTTGCTTTAACATTGGGGAAAACCAGTAAAAATAAACAGGGAATGAGGCAGGAGAGAACCAGAAGGAGAGAGCAGGGCCCTGCTGGGGTGCTCAGGGGATCCCTGCCCTGCTGCTGGTGGCACAGGGGGTGATGGGCCCACAGGACAGACCCACCATTTCAAAATAAAATAAATAAGGCGAAAGAGTTGGGGCTACTGGCTCAGCTGGGGTGGTGCAGGGAGCTGGTCTGTGTTAGTGTTCACAAGGCCCTGCCTGGCCACAGGGCCTTGGCGAGGCGCAGGCAGGACGTAATGCCCAACACGGCCAGGGAGGTTCAGGTCCAGCCCCCTGTCCCCACAAAGCCACTGCTGGGGTAGCCCAGCTTAGACCCCGTCCCCTTCCCTAGCCCGGGGCAAGAAAAGGCAACAAAACGCTACAAACATCTGCAACTCGCTCCCTGCCCACGCCCAGAGAGCACTGCAGCCCCAAAAAGCAGGGCAGCCGCCCCAGCTCCAAGCCTCCCTGCTCACAGGGCTGGCAGGAGGGTGATGCCAGGGCTGGGAGCAGCCAGGAGCAGGGAAGGAGGCAGCTGAAGAAGGTGCTGCCTTGAGCAGGAGCCTGGGGCAGGGCACTGGGAGCCTTGGGAGCTCTGCGTGAGAACAGTTCATCGGGCAAGACAGGCATCCAGTTCATAAATGAGGCTCAGAAACAATCGTTCCTGCTCTCAGCACAGGCCAAAGCTCTTCCAGTGGCACCAGGTGACAAACCAGGATGTCTTTCCCCTGCCTTGGCATGAGGGCAGAAGCAGCCCCAGGTTTGGGCTGGCATGGCAAGAAAAGCTGGGAACAAATACAGTAGAGACTTCAGCCAGCCCCTCCTATCTCTAGGCGAATTATTTTGGGAAGCTTTTCACATTATAACTCATATATTACATCTGTACCACAACTGAGGGGGGAAACGCTAAATCAGAATTAATGCAACTGTAACTGCACCTGGGATATGCTACTGAAAAATAAGATAAAATCATAAATCCTTATAAACTAAAGGAATCAGTGAGAGGTGGGAGAGGGGGCAGGGGCCCTGGCAGGCCAAGTCCTGCAAAACCTTTGAACTGGGGACAGGATCTGATCCCTGCCCAGACGACTCCTCAGCTCCTGCCTGAGGCGGTGGCCGGGCTCTCCGGTCACAGCGGTGGCCACACAGGACTGGCCAGCGTGGCCAGACCAGGTGGCACCTAAGGACAAAAACAGATTTGATGCAGATGAAGGGAAGTGGGAGGTTTCAAGAAATTCTGCCTTTCGAGAAACCCTGATAAATCCAAGCTTATTCAAACCACACGGAGCGGGCGCCACGGGCCGGCCCCACGCTGCACGGCCACGGCTCTGTGCCAGCAGCTTCACCCTTGGAAGTCTCCTCCTTTCCCACGGGCTTTGCTCGATCCAGAGAACAGCATGGTTAAAAAGACAAGAGAGGTAGATTACAGTCATGATCAAAAGCAGATTAGTCATCTAGGCTTCGATTTTAAAAAAACAGATTCCAGAAGATGCCAAGAGGTTGCTGCTTCCAAAACTAGCTTTTCCAAAAGTCTTCTCCGTCCGGGGCGGGTGTGAGTGCGTGTCCCTGGACAGAGCTTGGGATTGCTACATTATTCCCCGTCGTGGGACACCGGTATTGCTGTAGGCTGGAGCAGGCGAGGTGAGGGCAGACTGCAGGGTGGTGCTCGTGCTCTTGGGGCAGGGGAAGCTACTTCCGGAGGTACCTCTGGGCCAGGATGGCCGCGTCCAAAGGGTTCATGGGCTGCGCGTCGTGGCCCAGGCGCCGCACGGGCGGGATGTTCCCGAACTGCCGCTTCTGCAGGAAGCTCTTGGCCTCATGCAAGGTGTTCTTCTCCTCAGCCAAGAGCAGCTGCTGCCTCATGTAGTTCTCAAACTCGTACTGGGAGCACTCCTCCGTCACCTTCACCTGCAGAGACCGACCTGTCAGAGCCACACCTGGCAGCCCCACGGCTCCTCTGATGGGCCTGAGCTACCACGGGATAACTGGGGTCCCAATGCAGGGAAGGGACCTGCTGCTGGGGACACAGGCAGGACTCCTCGTGAGCTTGCAGTGCCACCAGGACACAGCAGCTCTGTCCTGACATGGCTCATCCCAGCCCTGGCAGCACTGAGGCTGCAGCTGCCTGACCCCTGTCCCTGCAGCACCGTCACAGATCCTGCATGGCTGTCCCTGGGCAGCCAGGCCGTGGCCAACACTTCTAGCATGAAACAAACCGGCAGGAAAACAGGATGTTTGCTCCCATGGCAGAGCTCACTGGGAGCCAGAGCCAACACTGCTGCCTCCTCCCAGCATTCCCAGCTGTGTGAGAGGGAGTGAGCGCTGCTGGGAGCGGAGTGAGCTGCTCTCATCAGCTCCGGGGCCGAGCTCACTTCCTGGCAGCTCAGCCAGCTGGATGTGCCTCCTGCTCCCTGCAGCATCGGCCTTTCCTTCCGCTGCACAACGTGAGGGACTCAGCTCTGTCCTCCCCACCCTCCCCAGCTGGGTGACACAATGGGTGCCACCACAGACAGACTGGCACAGCAGCACAGAGAAGCAGTTCTGTGGAAAGCAGGGAAACCTACCTCCTGGGGGTTTTCGGGATTAGCCACTTGGTCATCTATGTCCGGCACCACTTGCAAAGGGCCACTCAGTGAGGACATGGACTGCCTGGAGGAGAGCACAGCATTGGGATCCAGAGCATGGCACTGGCTCAGCCACTCTCACCCAGCCCCAGGGTGATCCCACTGGGATGGTCACGGCTGCCATAAGCATTTGCACAGGCCTCCCCAGCTGTATCCATCAGCACGCAGTGGTGGACACATGGGATTTAAAGACTTACTGCAGTTCCCAGACTCTCCTCTGGTGAGGTGAGCCAGCCACAGCTGGAACAACACAGCCTGTGGCCAGAGACAGCGTGTCCTGTCTCCCCTTGCACATACCAGGACGCTATGATGGAGCTGAGGGAATCCAGCACTTCAGAAGCCGTCAGCCGCTGCTGCGGGTCCAGGACCAGCAGTTTCCGGATCAAGCACACAGTGTTTTCTGAGACCCGGCCATCCCTGGGACAGACAACACGGGGTGAGCCTGGGGTGGGCTCAGTGTGGCAGGATGGACATGCTGGGAGCACAGCCCAGTGTCGCAGACAACTTTTATGAAAAATCTTTTCCCTAGGATTTTTCCTCCTGAGAAGCTGAGAGGCCTCAGGAACAAAATGTAACCAATGGTTATCTGCTGCTGTGGAATGCAACAGGTGCATCTGGGATTGGTCTCATGTGGTTGTTTCTAATTAATGGCCAATCACAGCCCAGCTGGCTCGGACACAGAGCCCGAGCCACAAACCTTTGTTATCATTCCTTTCTATTCTATTCTTAGCCAGCCTTCTGATGAAACCTTTTCTTCTATTCTTTTAGTATAGTTTTAATGTAATATATATCATAAAATAATAAATCAAGCCTTCTGAAACATGGAGTCAGATCCTTCATCTCTTCCCTCATCCAAGAACCCCTGTGAACACGGTCACAGGCCAGGAGCTACAGGAGCAACCACTGCTCTGAGCCTGCCTCACCTTCCCACAAACTGTCCCAACCCCTGCTCCTGCTTCCTGCACACCGCCTGTTGTCAGTCCTGCTGTGACCCTTGGGGTGCTGAGGGGTGCAGCTGGCCCAGTCAGCCCCTCATGGGCAGGCAGGAAGGGCAGGCTGTACTCACTCGGGGATGGTGTACTCGGCAGCCTTGATTTTGCGGAAGAGCTCCTGAGGTATGCTGTCGTAGAAGGGGAACTGGCCGTAGAGCATGGTGAACAGCACCACCCCCAGCGCCCACATGTCACTGGGCTTCCCGCGGTATGGCCGGCCTGCAGGAGAGGGCACACACAGCCTGAAAATCCTGGAAAGCACAGCCCTGGCAACCCCCTCACCTCCCACAGCAGGGGTGCTGAGTAACCCTCACATGGGACCCTTTTTCTAAGCATTAACCAAAAGAGTTAAGGCTTCCCATAACATGACACCAAAACTCTTTCCAAGGTGCATCCTCTGTGAATAAGCAAATTGTCCATTT